TTTTTTGACTGACCTGTCCTCAGCCCCGATTGAGTCATTGTTTTTACCTTGCTAATGCAGCAGAGAGGTCTTTACAGAAGTAGGAAATATGTCAGCTCTGCCCTATTCTTATTAATATAAAAAAATCTTTATCCTCATTTTTTGCTTTCATAGCTGAAATGTTTTTAATCAAGCTTAGATAGTATTATATGTAATCCATTTAAGTGGCTACACTTCTGTATATCACAATGTGTTAAAGGAAACTGGCTGCTGTCCGTCCCTCTCTGGGGAAGAACGCCCACTCTCTCCTCATGGTACCTGGCAATGGGGTGTAATTCATGACTGACATAAGGACCAGATACAGGCACCACAGTCTATCTACATATATGCAAAGTTGACTTCTATTTTTAGGTTGAAAATCAGTAAAACACATGTATTATTTTTCCCATACCCTCTGGGACCCTGCACCCACTTTGAAGAGCTCTAGTTTGAGAATGTAGGTTGGTGATCTGTCACACAGTAGACCTTGTTTGACTAGTACCAGCAGCTATTCCCTGCTTTTCCTGACCATCATTAGCTTGATTTTCTTTGAATGAGTCCTCAAACCCATCCCACCCCCATTCCCACACCATCCTCCTTCTTCCCCCGGTGACTGGCATGAGGACATCAAGAAACTCAATTTAGGCTTTTAAAAAAGTGAATTCTGGGACTTATGTAGCAGCTCTGGAAAGAGGCTCTCTCCCTCACCAAGATGGTTAATCCAAGGGCATGATGAGGCATCACTGTAGCCAGTCTGTCACCCAGGGAGCATGGGCTGGAATTCCCAGGAGCTACTGTGTGGAACCCAGGAATGAAATAAGATTGCTGAAGATAAAGGCAAGAGATGGCATGAAATTGGATTCTTGGTTACCTTGTTTGAGCTCCTGGATGCAGTCTTTCCTGAAGCTAGACCAACCCATGGATCTTTTGGCTATAAGGACCAATAAATTCCACAATGCATTTATTTACATTAGCTTCTTTTTCACCTACAACCAAAAAAGTCCTCACTGATATAACTGTCAACTCCCTCATGCAACTTGTTTCATGTTATTGTTGTTCTGTTTTTATTTATTGTAGAGTTAAGTTAACCATACTCTATAGCACACAATTATTTCCTTACTAGCACACATTAATTATAAGCTTATCTATCAGGCACTGTTCTAAGTAACTTACATATATTAACACATTTAACCTGCCCAATAATGCTATGGAATCAGTACTGTTATTATCCCCATCTTACAATCAAGAAAACTGAAACACAAAGAGCTTAAATAAAGTACCCAAGGTTACATGGTAAGTAGTAAAGCCAAGATTTACTACCAAGGCACATTTGAATCAAGGCTCTGGCTCCTAAACTAATGCTCTAAATCTCTACAGTACACCAGAAACACTCTGCTACTTACATACTAACATTTGGCATTATGCAATGGTCTAATTTTTGCCACTGTGATGAATGTAAAGTGATATTTACTACTTACTGTGCAATCTTAGACAAATTACTAAAAATCTTCATGTTTTAGTTTTCTTATCTGTAAAAAATAGGAATAAAATAATATTGATTTCATAGAGTTTTTGTAAACTGGTAGTTTAAATAATACTAGTGACTTTGAATATCTTTTCTTTATGTGCTACCATTTGGGGTGGCTTTTTGGGGAACTGCCTGTTCATATGTTTTGCCCATTTTTCTGTTGGGTTTTCTATCTTTTTCTTATTGATTTGCAAGGGTAACATGTATGTATAATATAGTTACAAGTTCCTTGTTAGTTTTAGATATTGATTGTTTTCTAATCTATCATTTTTTTCCTATAGTGTCCTTGATTGAGCAGCAATCTTTAATTTTGTTATGGTCAAATCCACCAATTGTGTCCCAAATGTAGAGAGAATAAAGATATAAAAAACATTGTTTATGCCCTAAGCAACTTAAAATCTAGCTGGAGAATCAAGAACAACTACGTGGACAGTGTTCAAGGTTGTACTATAACAGTATCCAATAAATGCCAAGCTGTAAGGCTGTATAACCAACTGTTAACCTTGGAAAAGTACCCACATTTTTCCAAGGTTCAGTTTCTTTACCTGGAAAATGAAAACAATAAAAAAAACACCCTTTTGCCCCAGCCGGTTTGGCTCAGCAGTTAGAGCATTGGCCTGCAGACCAAAGAGCCTTGGCCCGTACCTCAGTTGCCATTCGGTCCCGAGCCCTGGTCGGGGTCATGCAGGAGGTAACCAGTTGATGTGTCTCTTTCACATCGATGTTTCTCTCTCTCTCCCTGCCACTCTATCTGAAGATAAATGGAAAAATATTCTCAGGTGAGGTTTTAAAAATATATATACCTTTTAGTTTGTTATGATAATTAAATAAATAAGACATGTTGAATGGCTCTTTAGTATGTGGCACATGGTGCCAACTGAATTCATTTGCAAAGCAGATCTATGAAATAGTAATGGCCTCCATGTATGGAGGTCTACTACTCACCAGATACTTTCTATAATATACCATACTTAAATTTCACAGTCCACTGCAAGGCATTATCTCTGCTTAAAGTTTCAGAGTCTAAATAATTAGATGTAGATCGCACAGCTAGCTACATAAATGGTAGTGACAGAATTAAAAGCCAGATTTCTTTGGTCCAGCTGGTATGGCTCAGTTGGTTGAGCTTCATCCCATGAAACAAGAGGTCACCGATTCAATTCCCCATCAGGGCAATGCCCCGTTGCAGGCTTGATCCCCAGTGAGGGGCAAGCAGGAGGCAGCCAATTGATGTTCTCTCTCATCAATGTTTCTATCTCCCTCTCCCTCTCCCTTCTTCTCTCTCTAAAATCAATAAAGAAAAAAAAGACAGAATTTGAATAGACAGAAAGAGGAAGAGAGAAAAGAGCATACCAGACTCAGGGGGGTACAGTACATTTGTAAGTGATGATGAGTATTGTAGATTATTAGAGAGCAGAAGCAAAACCTGTGCATCACAGTTCACTTCAGTCCTGGCAGAGAGACTGGGATGGAGTAGCTGGTGGGAGACAGCTATTCCCATTTCTCCTATTTCCATCAAGGAAGCAGGAGCGAGTTATCTGATGGTGAGCTGGAAATCATGTGTCACTCTAACCCCCTTAAGTTTGGGGAACAGACCTGCCCTAGGAAGCGTGTGTTTTCTGCTTTTTCCAGAAACTTAGCACCACAGTTTTACACAAGCAGATTTTCACAAGAGGGGTCCTTCTGTACCTCTAACCCTCTCCATATTGCCATGAGGGGCAGCTCCAGCTCCCCAATTTTACACAAGCAGATTTTCCAAATCTGTGTGTGGCAGCCAGGTACTGAGGGAGACATTCAACATGTTTTACTTTATTTAATTCTGGGGTGAAGTATGAGCAGGTCCATTGTCCCTGTAAATCTGAAGCCATGGCCACCATTCCAGCTTTTGCCAGGGACAAAGCTGAAGTTTTGCTCTCCAACAGTTTGACTCCGGTGGTTATTCCAATGGCATGTGAACATGCATGCAGAATATGGGTGTTATTTGAATCCCCTAAAACCACAACATTAGGCATTAAGCAAACCATGATAGCAGAGTGAACGTGACTGGTTCAGAGGACAATGAGAAGACTGGCCTGATCTGAGCATAGGGAATATGGTAAGAAGCTGAAGTAAGGTTAGAAGGATGGGTGGTCCCAGTAATAGAAGACTTACTACAAAGGTAGAGTTAGGATTTATGTGGGAAGAAGAGTGTTAAACGTTTCCAAGCAGGGGAAATGCAGGAGAAAGACAGTGTTTAAATCAGGTAGTGAGAATATGGCAGAGCTGCAGTGGAGACCAGTGGAAGAGAGCCTGGAGCTGGATGGCAAAGAGGTGGTTTCCAGAATTTCCGCAGTGAGGGCAGATGAAGGTCTGGCCTAGGGAAGTGGAAATGTGAATGAAGGCGAAGGGATGCACAGGAGCTGTCAAGGGGAAACCTGCCAGGATATGGTGACAACCCAGGTCTGGGAAGTGGAAAACAGTGTTCCTGGCACTACTCTGAAAAGGGCAGATGAGCAGGCCTTGGGGCTGGTGGGAAGTGGGGCTCAGCTTAGGGCATGTCAAATCTAAGGTGCCAAGTGAATTTGTTCTACGCATCAGAGACACTGGAGGCGAGATAAGAAAGAGGCCATAGCTGGTAGTTTGGGGGAGTCAGTACAAAGAGGCAGCGCACATTTGAAGGCTGCTGGGAAGAAGCTGGTGGAGATGGAAAACAGGAACATGGAGGGTACCTGGGATGACAGGAACAGGAGCAGGGACAAATGATGGGTGGGCAGAAGAAGGGGGGCACAGCTCCTGGGCGGGAGGAAAGGACTGACCGGGCGAGGCTGCTAGTAAGCGTCGGGGTTAGGACGTTTCCAGCAGAGCAGGGCTGCTGCCACCTTTTCCCCAGGAAATCCACAGTTGAACTCAAAGCAACCAGCCCCAGTCTGGCCCATCTTCTGGGCCCTGCGCCCACTTCCTCGAGCCGCGGCTGCAGTGACCCCTGGACTGTGGGTGTCCCTGGGCACCTCCAGTTCTCTTTCTGTCACCCGCGGAGGGCGGCTGCGGCTCGCTAATCTGCAGGGCGCCTTTCCCTTCAGGTTCCCACCCCACTCCGGGCCGGGGCCCCCCAGCAGCACCGCCCACCTGGGCACCGCCGCAGCCCGCGTCCGCAGCCCGGGCCCGCAGCCCGCTCGAGCTGCCGCAAGCCAGGACCCCTCCGGGTGTGGGGTTTCGCCACACACACCCTCCGCTTTCGTTGCGGTGTCCCCCGGGACACCTCCTCTCTGCCTCTGTCCGGGGCCGGGCAGGTAGCGGGATCCGGCGGCGCCAGGACGCACGCGGGCTCCCCGGAGCCAGGGGCGGGGAGGAGTGAGCAGAGCCGGGAGCCGCGGGGGCCGCTGCTGCAGAAGGGGAGGAGAATGGGGAGGAGCTGGGGGGCAGGCAGCCGGGGAAGGAGGGGTCTTAAGGGGCGGCGAGCGCAGGTCGGATTTCCTTCGAGGCTGGCGATCGGCTAAGCTCCCACCTTAGAGCTGCTGCAGCCGCCCAGCCCCGCGCCCTCCGGAGACCGGGACGGACCATGGTGAGAGCCGGTGCGCGGCGCGGGGCGGAGCGCGGTGGCCGAGCCCCGCGGGGCTGCCGAGGGGGCTGGGCGGAGGGGGCGAGCCTGCGGGACCCCAGGAAGTTTCCGAGGTCCGCGCGCGGCCCAGTGCCTTCAGTCTAGCTCTTGTCTCTTCCGCAGATGTGGACACGCTGGCTCGCTCTCGCGCTGGTGGCGGTCGCCTGGGTCCACGCCGAGGTAGGTGAGAGGCTGAGGGGCTCCAAACTGGGGCTCCGGGGCCACTGGGTCTGCGTGCGGGGCGGCGGCGGGGCGTCCTGGGGATGCTCTCCCCGGGTGGGACTGGGAGTTTCCCGAGGTGGGGAGAGGGGCGCTCGGACCGGGAATGCAACGTACGAAACTTAGCCTCAAAATCGGGAAAAGAAGTTCGGGCCGCGAGCGGGAGCCCCACCGAGGCTAATATGGAGGGAGAGTGGGGAGGGGGAGAGAGGAAGAGATGGGCCGTTTGGGACGGAGGCGGCGACAGAGCAGCAGCCGAGTTCAAAAAGGCGCCTTGAGTTCTTTCCTTCATTTAAGAGGAAATTGAGAAGAATTGGGGATTTTTTCCTTTCGAGTTTGTCTCCCGGGGCGGGGTGGGGGGTGGCGGTGGTAACAAAACCCCCCACAAATCCCAAGAGATTCTTCTTTTAGGGAAGACTTTTTTTTTTCTCTTTTATAAAGTAAGGTTATAATTCTCTGATTTTTTTTTTCTTCCTTTGTAAAGTGTCCTCGGAGTTTGTATTATTGTCAGGACCTTATAACGGCCTTTAAAATCTCAAATTTTCCCTTGAACTGGCGTTGCTGCCAAGTGTGAGCCATCCACTGCTCAGCTCCTGGAGGGCTCCGCTTTTCCAGTCAAAAGTATTTCAGCACTTTTTTGGTAATGTTTTTCTTTTCAACTCCAATGACCTTCCTGAGACACTACAAACAGACCAACAAACCCTTCACTCACCAGCCCTTCCATTAACTCAAAGGTTTATGGACAGAAAATAAACAATTCTAAATTCCCTGGGCTCTAGTCTCCAGAAAAGTGAGGTCAGAAACCAAACATTTGATAATTATGGCAGGAAATGTGGAAGGAATTAAAAAGCATGAGGGAGAAGAAATGGAATGTACATTACAAAAGAAATAGCTCCCTGGTGGGTGGTTATTCTCCCTCTTTGAATTTTTTTTCTTCATATTACAGTTTAGCCCCACCCTTAGCACCACTGCTGGACTCTGCCCAGAAAAATCATAAAAGCATGCAAGGTCTTCACGATTTCAAATAATACACGTTATGTTGAACTCTCATGTAAATCACTCTTACAGTGTTGGTTGAGCTGAAAACACAGGCTGTTTTTACAATGAAATAAAAAATAGCTAATACTTATTGACTACTTTGTGTTGTAATAAAACTCCATTTTAATGATAAGGAAACTGAGTCATAGAGGTTACATAATTTATCTGGTGCTTTAAGACTGTAGGGGTTGGATTTGGACCCAAACAGTCTAGCATCACACCCTATGCTCTTAACCATTACCCTATACAAGGACCTCACAACCGCTGAGTACTTATTGTACAGCAGACATTGGGTTGCATGCCATCATTTCTTGTAAAGCTTCTCCAATCTGGTAAGGTCCATTTTGTTATCCCTATTTTACAGAGGAAGAAACAGGTTTTGGGAGATTAGGTAACCTGCCCAAGGTCACACCGTTAGTTAGTTAGTTAGTTAGTTAGTTAGTTAGTTAGTTCTGAAGAAGGATCTGAAACCAGCTCTCTCCACCTTTGGAACCCATCTTGAATCCCAAGTCAGCTTCTTATGCATTGTTTTTCAGGGTTTGAATTTGAGGGAAGATCCCTCTTTACTGGCTGACTTAGTCCTGGCTAAGGAACACCCTTGCAATGGCCCTCAAAAGGCAGCTGCAGCCCTCTGATGGATGAGGTGGATCCCGGTTGGTTTTATGGCAGGCTTAGGAATTGCCAGCCAGTGTGTGAAATCGCTCTGTGAACTGGAATGCTAATATGAGGTGTGAGGAGACTGTGGGTTCTCTTTCCACAGGGCTGTGTGGCCCGAGGTCCAGGATCTATTCTAGGTGGCCTGCGTTGTACCCCCTCCCCACAGTGTATTGCTGGGAAAAGCTTAGTTCTCATAGGAGGTTCCACCAGCCAATTTCCTGCTTCAGGTAGAAGAGCAGAGAGTACTCTCACAGAATTCCCAGGCAAAATCTATGGGGAATAAGGTGAAATCAAGAAGTGCTGAGATAATGAAAACTGAGGGAGTTGGTGCCCAAAGGAAGCTGTGAACTCAGGGTGTGTGAGGAGTGAGGAGTAGGCATGATCTAGGATTATCTTTTACTCAATCCAATCTCTTGGTGTCTGGCCTTAGTAACTTTCAGCAATTTTTAAATCCATGTTTAAATAATATACCTTTAATTATTAGTAAAAAGGCAAACTAACTCTAACAATTTGGGTTTTAAGTTTATCATGCAGTTCATGGTGCTTGCAGAAATTTTTTTCTTTGTTAGTTACAACAATGTATGACAAATAGACCCAAATTATGATATTTACAGTTTTTATTGAATGAACCCACTTTAGTAGACTTAGGGCTCAAATTGTATAAATATTGCTAAACTTTTTAAAAATGAAATTTAGAAAATAAACTGTTTCCTTGGTGCCTTTTGGTTGAATATAAGTAAAAGGGCTTCATTTAGATTATTTTAAAAAAATGTGATGGCCTCCTGGCCAGTGTGACCCAGTGGTTGAGCATTGACCCATGCACCAAGAGGTCTCCAGTTCGATTCCCAGTCAGGGAACATGCCCAGGTTGTGGGCCCAAAACCCAGTGGGGGCATGCAGGAGGCAGCCAATCGATGTTCTCTCTCATCAATGTTTCTATCTCCCTCTCCCTCTCACTTCCTCTCTCTGTAAAATCAATAAAGAAAAAAAATGTTTTAATAAGAAATAAATAAAAATGTGATTGCTACGCCCTGCCTTTGGCTTGATTGGAGCATCATCCTGGACACTAAAGGTTTCGGGTTTCATCCCTGGTAGGGGTGTGTATAGGAGGCAACTAATATTTCTCCCTCACATCGATGTTTCTCTTCCTCTCTCCCTAAAAATCAGTGAAAACATATCCTTGGGTGAGGATTAACATTTAAAAAAAATTTTTAAATGTGTTTGCCTGACAAATCACATTGCTATTATTGCTATTTTAAGAAACCAAGCCTTTGGAATAGTAGACTCCAGAATCAGAGGTGTCCTGAGCTTGGGAAATGGTGGTTGTCTTCATTATTAATGCCAGTCTGTAAATCCTGTTTGGTTAGATTCAAGAATTTATTAACAGATCTCATAAGGAAAGTGTTATATTTGGAATGTTTTCCATTGTCTCTTACTTGGCATCTCAGGATTGCTTTTTTGAATTACTTCCTCTTTCTTACATTCCCTTCAGTCTTCGTTCCCTATCAACAATGCATTCCTTCAGGCTGCCTGCATCAACATTCTGCCCGTCCGCCTGAGTTCACACCCATGCACTCTTTAGAGTCTACTCGATAGGGTTTTGGGGGGTGTGACACATCTCTCCATGGTATGGCTAGCATCTGGTATGGATGAAAATGGGGGTGGCAGCAGCAAAGGGAGCGCTTGAACTAACAATTGCACAGCTACCCCTTCTCTGGAGTCTGTTGGAAGGGGGCTGTGTGGGCCTGCTCACTCCCCTCACCCATCCCCCTCCCATACTGAAGTTGACTGAGAGGCTGAGAACGTTTGAGAACTCAGGTGTCAGTACATGCACCCTTGAGTCTCAGGAGGTGCATCTAAGTCCACTCCAACATGGCAGGCTGGAGGGGACCCTGTGGCCCAGCCGCCTGCTTCCGAAAAAGCCTTGGCAAGTGCCTAGGCGCTCTCCCTTGGTGGTTGTCTGTGCTGGCACTCTGATTCCCGGCAGTCACGGTCTACAGGCTCATCCTGATAAGTCACGGAAGTCAAGAGAATGATTCACAAATCAGAACCCTCATTCCAGCAAGGGAGTGTTTGACCCATGAACTGTGAGTGCATCACTTAAGATAATAGCAACAGGAACTATAACACTTATACAGACAGACAAGAAAATTATTAGGGCATTGTTCCTCTGAAACCATATTTCTTAACCTCGGTTTTACCCTATTATCAACATACAATTTATCAGTCATGAGGGGTTTTATTGGCTGATGTGGGATCTCCTCCATATTCTTTAGAATTATTCTAACTATGGATTGAGGCAAGCCTAGAGTCTAACCCACATCCTCTGACTTCTTGGAGCTGCAGCAAAACTAGGGCTTTAATATCCACCGTGTACATTAGCCATTAAAATAATCTCTTGTTTGTTTATCTTTTGGCAAATAAACTACTTGCTGTGATTTTAAAGACCATTGTTGGGAATTCGGATGTTAAAACATAGCAGGGACTCTGCTGAGTAGTCAGAACAGATGGGCAAGCGTCCTGCACTTTGAGGCCCCGGCCATTGAAAATGTCTTTGGAAGGGCGACATGCTACAATTCCCATAGAAGTCCCGTGTTGGGTGATGGAAAGCAGGAGCCAGTTCCCAGGCTTAGAGGAGTGAGTTGGGGAGGAGCTGTGAGGTAAAAGTCGGAAGGCGTGGGCTGCAGTGGATGTAACGTCCCTGAAGAAGGAAATAAAGCCAGTGAGCCAGAAAGACGTGTGTTTCCAGGAGAATGGAGAAAGTAAAGGACGAGCTGTAAATACCAGGGGTCACACATATAGAATTGGAAATGTCACCATGGCTTTTTCCTACTCTTCAAATAATTGGACATCTGAACATAAAATTTCTAGCAGCCACAAATAGTATTAGCTTAATGACACCAAATATTATAGGACTGAAAAAATACTTACACTTAGATTCATTTCGTAAGTCAGGTTATTAATGTCCTATGGGTCAAATGCATATTTATCTCTAAAGTACTATTTTCTGACACCTGCGACTTTGACACTGAGTTCTTTCTTCAGGGGGGTGAGTCATTAACAGCATGGACCTTCCCTTCACAGTGCCCATCAGTCAGTCAGGATTCCCTCTGCAGGCTGAACAGCCCCTACACACAGGGCAGAGTCACAGATGAAGTAGAAGACATGGTCTCTGCCCTCAAGTTACTTACAATCTGTTCGTGGGCCAGGTGCTTTACACTGGCAGCTACAATGTATATTAGTATAACTAAATGGTGAACAAATACC